GACAGACAGACAGACAGACAGACAGACAGACAGACAGACAGACAGATAGATAGATAGATAGATAGATAGATAGATAGATAGATAGATCACAGACCTTCCATCACGCGCTCTCTCATCAGCTTTCTGCTGGTCCATGGAGCACTGTCGCTGGTGGGAAAGAAAGAATGAATACAGTGACGGATGGATGGGCAGAATGAATGAATGAAAGGGAGAATGAATGAAGGAATGAAAGATTGAAAGAATGAAGGAAGGAAGGAATTATAAGACGAACAATTAAATAGTTATTCTATTGAATGGCCGAAATGTTGGGTAAATGGAGGGACCAATGGATGAGAATGAATTTTAAGGTGGAAAGCTTAAATTTTATGAATAAACAAAAGAAATACAATAGAACATGACTATAGCGCCACCTCGCTATAACGGGACCATCCCTAAAGCGGGACCTTACCGGAATTCCCGTTTTTCTTCCTATGTAAACTCAATTACTTATGCTTGGATAGAGCGAGGCAAGGAAAGTCCCGAACTCGGATAAAGCGGGAGAGATAATAATAATAATAATAGATAGCATTTGTATTGCGCATATCCCCGCTCAGCAGCAGGCTTATGCGCTTTACACTATATTATTACCCCAGCAGACCATAGAACACTCCGAAACATTCTCAGCTTCCCGGGAAGCATACAGTGCGAGCAGCCGATTAAGCGCTCAAACACTAACAAACTGACAGAATCTTTCGCTGTCTGTAGCCGGGTACCCATTCCCACCTGGGTGAAGTGAGGAAAATTCGTGTAAAGTGCCTTTCCCAAGGACACAACGTCGGACCCTTGACGGGATTCGAACCCACGACCTTACGGTTGCGAGTCCGAGAGCCTAACCCCTAGGTCACCGACGCCACATCAAACGATCTAGCGAGCTCTAACGGGGGTGGGGGTGGGGGGTGTGTGCTGTAGGCGGGCTCCAAATAAGCAGTCGGCGTAATTGTGATTGGCTATAGTCCAGTGATGAGTAGTTGAGTGAGGTGGGGCAGGCGGTAGGCCTAGAGAGAGATGGTGCGGAGAGACACGTTACGCGAACCACTCCAAACGTGGTGTAGATATCTGTACATGTAATAGCCCCAGCCTTTGGCTAGGAACAAAAAGTAAAAGTAGAGGAGAGCGTGTAAGGTGTGATTCCTGATTCATTCAATTGCGATCGTTGATGCTCAAGCATACGCACGCATACACCTCACCATTTCTACAGCAGACAGCACAAGCAACAAACCGAGGAAAAGATGGCTTCCAATAAAGACTAAAGGAAATGCTTTTCAGTCGAATTAAAGGCCGAGATAATCAACGAAGTTGACAAGAAAAGGAATACTAATCTAAAGAGGAAATTTTAGTGATATGGAAAGGATGTAATCATGTGGATTTTAAAGAACATTTTCAGTAATTTCCCCTTTGCATTCCTATAGCGGGAACTCGCCTACAGCGGGATTTTTCTTCTGGAACCAAAAGTTTTGCAATAGCCGTGTTCTACTTTAAATAGATATAAATGAACAAGTAGGGGTTAGAGGTTAGGGGTCAGGGGTTAAGGGTTAGGGGTAAGGGTTAGGGATTTTGGTTTCGAATTAGGCAGCACGGTTTATGGTTAGGGCTAGGGATTAGGGTTTGCGTATTAGTTATAGGTTAGGACGAGGGTCAGGGTTAGTGTTAGGGTTAGGGTTGGGCGTTAAGAGTTAGGGGTTAAAAGTTAATGGTCAGAGGTTAGGGTTTTTGCTTTAGGGTTCGAGTTTGGGGTTATGGTAAGGGTCAGGGTTAAGACGAACATGTTATGGGTTAGTGTTAAGGGTTTTTACGAATTTAAGGTTACGGTTAAGGTTATGGTTATAGGGGTTAAGGTAAGGTCAGCCTTAGGGTTACGGGTAAGAGTTAGGGGATAAGTCGTAGGGGTTAGAGGTTAGGGTTAGCGTTAGGGTTAGGAATAGGGGTTAGGGGTAGCGTTTTGGGTCAGTTTTAGGGTAAGGGTTTCGGTGAGGGTTAAGGTTAGGGTTAAGGTTACGGTTAGAGTTCGAGTTCTGGTTTATGGTTAGGGTAGATGTTAGTTTTAGGGTTAGGTTATTGGTTAGGTTTAGGGGTTGGGTTAGGGTTAGCGTCAAGGTCAGGGTTCGGGTTAGTGTTACGGTTATGGTTAGGGTTTTGGTTAGGGTTAGGGTTTAGTGGTTAGGGGCTAGGGTTCAAGATTAGGGTTAGGTCGTAGGGTTTTATGGTCTGCT